GCCCAACATGATAGGGTAAATAATGTTTAAAATAGCTAATTATATTATATTTATATGTAGACTAAAGGATGACTTCTAATTTGTTTGTTGGGTCTATGATTTTGATTTGATATAATAAAATACTATAAGCCTATGTGTGAGGAGATTGGAGAGAAGTAGCTTTCATTTCTTTAAAGATGATGTTCTCTTATTTGAAAGCTACTTCCACTAATTTCTCTTCTATAGCCCCTATGACTCCATCAATTAAATATTTTATATTATGTATTATCTATATAAAAATATAAATTAAAAAAATTCATATAAAGGACTCTCATAATCCCATTTTCTCAATGAATTATGAAGAAATGCAATAAGCACAATGGAATCTATCAAATGGAAACTAATTTATCAAACATGTTGAATATATATATATATAGTAAATATCGTGTAAATTAATTTACTTATGTATAAGCAAATTCAGAATCATTATATATTTTTTTATAAATAAAGGAAAAATGCACAAGTATCCCTCAATCTATGCCTGAAATCTCATAGACACACTTACACTATACAAAAGTCCTATTACTACCTAAACTTATTTTATAAATAATTATCTACCCCTTTTCGGCCTACGTGATACTAGCTTTAAAAAAATATCAACACACACTGGGCCCACAAGATAGTGTTACGTAGGTCGAAAATGGGTAGAAAATTATATATAAAATAAGTTAGGGAGGTAATAGAACGTGAGTATAGTGTAAATGTGTTTCTGAGAATTCAAACGTAGGTTAAGAGGGTACTTGTACATTTTTCTATAAATAAAAAGGAGAAGAAACAATATTTAGTAATATTTCTTTCGATTATCTTGCTAAATAGATTTAGTTGTAAATATATTACTTGTGGTTGATTGAGTTGTTTTACGTACATTTTCTGCAAGCAAATAATATAGTGAAACGTCTCTCTAAATTTTAAAAATAAAACATTATTCCACAAAATGGAATATGACACAATTATATTTTTGTGTTTTGGAATAAGTAATGGAAATTCTCAAGTGGAATATAAACTTAAAGAATTATTAGTAAAAAGATACTCCAATGAGCATAATTTTTTTCAACTTCAATGTCACCATTAAGCTCGTGTCACATCAATTTTGATGCAATATTTGGGGTTCCTAAGGGGCAATAAGATTAAAAAAAAATTAAAGTACTACTACTATAATAATAATAATAATAGTATAGTAGATTATTTGTACTCGAAGCCCAAAAAGAAAAGGTAGTACTACTAGTTAATTGATATTTTTCAAAGTGATTGGACATTAAAATCTTCAAATAGGAAAAACATTTCATAAGAATATCATCTAAATCTTGTCAAGAATCAATTAAAATAAATGCTTTGTTTCTTTGAGCTTAAGCTATGGCTTTTGAAGTATAGACTTTGACCTTGTATGCATAGGTTTAGCTAAATAAAAGTATGATTTTAATTTATCCGGCTTAAATGTTCTTTGAAGGGTTGAAAATGATTTGAAAAAGATGTTATGAATATTACGTTAAAAAAGAAAGAAAGAAGAAGAGGTGTTCAAATTGATGTAACAACCAATTAATCTATAATTTTTAACTATAACAAATTATATGGATCATTTAAGATTTATTTGAGTGTATTAGATTGATATTTAATAGAATCGAATGTGTTCTTTGATAACAAAAACTAAATTTAGTATATAATTTTTATTTTGGTATGAGTACAATTGCATCGAATGAAAACATTAGTCAATGCTTTAAAAGCTAGGACTTGGAGTATCAAGCAACCAATGTGAATATTACGGTAACCAATAAAAATAAGCAACTAATACATATTTACATCTCATGATAATCATCTACTTGAAAAAGTATAACGAGAAATCAGACTATTAAAAACAGTCTGATTATAAATAATTCTACGAATCAAATCTCTATAACTATGAGCTTTTACTAGATTTTTTTACTACTTTATTTATCAATACTTGTCAAAATTGTCTCTGAACACTTTGATGCCCAAAAATAGTCCAATTCCTAACTTTCCAAGTATAACAGATGATTTTGTTAAAGTTGTTGACGCTGAAAATAGAGTAATTATATAAACGTTTTAATTCTAATACTTTAGTAAAAATTAATGTATTTAGTTTCTTTATGAGGTTTATTCCCTTTATTAATTCATAGAGAACATATAGAAATTGTTTATAAGATAAACTATATTAATCAACATGCTCCCACGTTCTAATATAATGCTAATTGATAAACCTTTGAATGCTAATAAATTTGTAAATTTGGAAAAAATCAACCAAACCATTCTAGTTAAATCAATTTGAATTGTTATGAGTAATGACAAAATCACTTCACAACATTATTTAATTTCCACTGGGTTAGCAACTAATCATATATTATTACCGTAGTAACGAATTGTATTTAAGATAGAAAAAACAATACTATAATTTAAATATACTCTGACAATGATTCTTTTTATTTATTTTTAATGCTGAAAAAGTTATAATCAACTAGTAATTTATTAAGGAAAGGCTAAATTATTAATTGGGAGGAGATTAGGTAATTAAGATCCAATGGATTAGGAGATTCTCTTGAGATACTTTGTAGATCCTATTTTTTCTTAATAAACCAATCTTATCCTCTAATTAATTACTAAAGAAATTGGTCAATGTTTTGGTTTAAGATTATTTATGTAATTTTTAAATAAACAAAATTATAGTGATTCACGCGGAATGAAGAAAATGCTAGCAAATAAAATGAAAATGTGATTAATTATATTTTTTAATTAAATGTGGATATTTAAATTAAAAATATGTAGGTATATATTTTTGGAGAAGTTACACATATGGTTAACAAATATTGAATACCTAGATATTCCTTTCGTTAATAAATAGCAATTGCTCGAATAATAAATTTGGATTTAAGAGTGAAATAAAATTAGTTCCATATCTACGAAAAGATGTTTTTAAGTTAAAAAATAAATTATGTTTGTTTGAATTTAATTGTGAAATAGTAAAATATCATATAATCAATTTTGTGTTTTTTCCGCTAGGTATTAAACTTTGTTCAAAAACAATATTAGCAAAAAAATATTCAGATACAAAGAAGGTAGTGCCATATTTTTTTTTTCTTCATGTTATATCACGCGCTCAAGAAGCGAAAGAATGATCCTATAATCTTATTTTCTGAATAAGAACTCGATCGGCCAAATACCCTTCTTTTTTTTTAAACTTTTAAGTTATCAATTAGTCGATAATTAATTATTTTTTTTTGTATCCGATAGTTTATGGCCGATTTACGTTGTTGCATTACATTAATAATGTGATACGATTTTCAAAAGAAAATTATATCTTTAATACTATTAATATATGTATTATAATCTCTTGTATGATTAAAATAATACCATACAAATTTACAAATACAAATTATAGGTAACATACTAAAAAATAAAATGATAGTATATTAAAAATACACGTGTCAATCGGTTCACGTGTATTAGCTTCTCCAAAATGAAAAAAAAAAGTATTCCCCTTCCATGCGTATGTACTTTATTTTTCTTTACGGCAACCACCAGCAGACAAATTTGATTTCGTTTCATTTTGCATCATCACTAACCACCAAACACCTCGTTTTGAATGTTTTTTCGTGATTTATTGTGAAATTTATCATTACCTAATGATAAAAAAATTTCATTGTCTTCTTTCAAATATTTATTACGTAATGAAATGTAATTTTGGGCTTCAATTGAGCTACACTCTACACAATAATAATAAATTCTTCATTTAAAAAAAATTGAAATATACAAAAATAAATATGTGAAAAATTACAGAATAAAAAAAATTTCTCACTTCCACGTAGATTTGCCCCAACTCTATACATACGAAGTAATTTGTATAAACACCTACATTTAAAAAGAACAACACTGTGAAAATAGTTTAAAAAAATTGATAAAAATAATGAAATTTCACGTAAAGTTAGAAAAAAAAATAATAGAAAATAATACTAGCGTTCATTAAATTTTGCATGCACAGCCTGAGCCATACCTTAGGACCAAAAATTTAAAGGTGACACAATTATTAAGTAGAATTATTACAAGCAGAACCCAAAATTTTGTTTTCTCCTACGATTTTAAAAAAGATTTATTCCAAAATTAATTTATCTCTAGCAATGTCATTAGAGAGAAGCATTAATTAATTTTTTTAATATTAATTTGTAATTAGTTTTTATTAAAAGTATTTATGTTTGTTTGTAACATTTTTTGAATTTTTTTTAAGAGGTAAATTAGTAATTTATTTCCATCATACAAAATAAAAAAATATCAACTAATATAAAACAATGGAAATAATTTTTTCTTCTTAAATCTTATTAAATGTGCATGGCCTCACAAATTTTGTGAGAAATTTAAAAAGTTCATTATATCCTTTTTGTTTTAAACTAAATTGATATTTTTTCTATTGTTTAATTAAAATATATTAAAATTAAAAGAGTAAAAATATTTAAAAAAAATTAATATAATATAAAATATATTATTTTACCATTCTAATCAATTTTTTTTTTTACTTTAATGGATGAAAAAAATAATTTTTATGTCTATAATTTCAGAAAATTAACATTATTGACGTCGGTTGTACCAACTACCAGACCAAATTGTAGTAGTACTAGTATTATTTTATGCACTCAAAGTTACTCCATTTACCTAACCATTTTGCCTTTTAATAATCACCTAGAGAAAAAAAGAAAAACTATTTTTTTATAAATAAAATAACATTTACTTCAACATAATCAATAATAATAATCTTTTTTTATGACTCAGTTAATTTAGAGAGTAATTTTTCACGTAATTAACATAGGATCAATTTTTAAATTCAAAAACTTGTAACATAAACAGAATACCCATTAATGTAATTTCACTCGAAATCGCCACGTCACTGGTTAAGAACCCTATCCAGTAGCCATCTCTCTCACACACACTAAAAACACACACAGAGAGTCAAAAAAGTCTTTATCCTAAAGTTTCAGAATCAACTCTTCTGACATTCTTCAAACTAATCTTCCACTTTTTTTTCTCTCATTTCAAACAAATAAGAAGAAAAGGAAGAAAAAAAAAACTACTCGCCGGTTGTCCGGCGACTTCTCCGATCAATTTTTCGGTGACAGTGCAAAAGCTATATATATTTGTATATTCGTTCAGTTTCTCGAGTTTGGTTACAACTTTGTGTGTATATAGAAATGGATTTGATAGAAGGTGTAGGTGAGAATTCGTCACCGCCGAGGAGTATTGGGAGCTGTGCAGTGTATGATATTAAAAACGATGTGTATAATCGTCTTGTAGAAACTGGAAATCCTGAGGCAGTTACTAATCCGGAGCTGCTTCGTGAACACTTGGATTCTCACTTTGCTCGCTTGCCTGTTAGGTTGAATTTTATACATGATTAAATTTTCTTATTGTAGTCAATGTGCGATTTTGTGCTCAATTCCTTTTTTATTTAAAAAAATATTTCATTGCTCTAGATTATGAGTTGAGAATTAGATTTTTTTTTGTATCTTTCTCTACTTTTTGAATGGGGATTGTGTGGTGATTCTACAAACCATTATAATTTTTGAAATGTGAATAATTGGGCTATTTATGATAATTGATTGAAGAAGTCATTGAAATTAGCTCTATTTTTTTTCTACAAAAGCGAAATGCTGGTAGTGATTTATTAAAGTTAACTTGATCAGGAAAGTTAGATCATAGCAAATGTTTAGACTAGCCCTAAGGTTTTGGTTTCAATGTCAAAAGTAGTCAACACTAATTTTTGTTCGGCTGGGGAACCAAGTATGATATTTAACGGTATATCTTTGATGCTTCAGTTATGGGTTGGATATTAATGTGGATAAAGCGGAAGATGTGTTGTTGCATCAGAAGATTCTTGTTAGAGCAAAAGAACCCGATAACCGGCCTGTTTATCATGTCCGATTTTTAGAGGTACTAACTCCATTCATCACATAGCTGCAAGTTCATTATCACTTCAATGCTATCTGAGATTGTTGGTGGATCCTGTGCTGCTTAACCTTCCTTCATGCTGTAGTTGCTTTGGTAGCTTTAAAATGCCCGCATTTATCATTGTTGGTTTCTTTTTTGCATGCAGCAGTGGATCTCTCTTTTACTGATTTGATTGCTTTATGTGATGCTTTGGATGGTGAATTATTGTTGATATGCCACCATCTGATTTAAGTATTCTGTAATTTGATATTCCTATGAACCCTTTAGATCAATTTCTTTGTAAGTATCTCCCAAGATCATTTTTCTTATTGATTTGTTCATTTCATTTGATAGTTTTGTAAAATCATTGTTTTTTTTTGGTTGGATTCTCCATTATTTAGTTATCAACCATTATATTCTCATCTCCATTTTATGGTTTTAGTGGTTTCAACAACTCTTTGGTCTGCTTTCTTCACCAATTAAAGGAGACATTCCTTTACTGCTGATACTTTCCTTTAGTACTACACTATATAGTTGATTTTATTCAATAAGTGATATATAAGGATACAGCTAAGTCATTGTTCATTTGCTATATGAATTAGGTATCTATTAGTGAAATAATCTGACAAGATTGTGGTTATGTCATATTGGATGTGTGTCACAGGCGGATTCTTGACTTTGTAGATTAAATTGTGTTTCATTGAATTGATTATTTCTATCTTGCAAACTTTATACTCTAAACAGGAGTGATAAGTTTCCTCTAGAGATTGGTTTCTTGTTTGATGTAATCACCTTTGATTATAATTTAATGCTCATTTTTCATTTTGTGTTTCTTGACAGAATTATTGGACTAGATTTGATGATGCAAAGGGTCAGGATGACTTCAATGATTTTATGACTTCAAAGGCAGGTGGAAGCTTAAATGATAAAGGGATAAGGTGACTTTTATAAGTTTGACAACTTTTAGCTGGTAACTGTTTTTGGCTAGGAACTTAGTTTTACCTAATGGGTTAGACTAATATGCTTTAGTTTGCTTTCATCTGACTATGCGCTGCTGACTTACTAAATACAGGAAGGGTATGAATGACTTTGAAACTTTCTCTAAGCTTGAGGACCTAAATTTGGATGTTAGGAAGAATTTTAATGACAAAGAAGAAATTCTAGCAGAAGATTCTAGCCGAAGGTAGTTTTGGGGCAAACTTTTGTGATAATTTCCATATTTGTCTTCTTTCTTTTTTGTTTTTATATTAAAATTTACTTCTTAAAGTATCAAAGCATCTAGAAAACCGGAGTATAATACAATATTACTAAATTTGTTCTGAATATGGAAGTTTCCCTAAAAATCCTAGTTCTAATATTTGTTTAAATTGAACTATGGTATTTGTAGTATTTCCAATTACTACATGTAAGCTAGAAGAAGTTTTCATTTATTGAATACTTCAGCATCCAAAATTATGTGAACGAGAAAATCTCACTCAAAAGAAATATGAATGTGATATTAAAAAAATTACAAAGAGGGAGAATTACTCTCTCTAGTGTGAAAGATCAAAGGTAAACCAAGCATTAAAAGTTGAAGCAAGTTTGTAATTTCAAAATCACTTGTAGAATCTTATTGGTAGTCAAAACCTCTTTGCTGATAAAGCATGCAAGTAAACCATGTACTTCTGTCGCCCATAAATTTCATCTCCTGTTTGGTTAAAATTTTGCCTGGAAACTAGATTCATCAGCATGACAGTTCAGTTTCCACCATTCTGCTATTTATTTTCATTCAACTGGTAATTTTTTTAACTCATTTATCATGATCATGAAGTTGTCTCTGTTTGTGGGATGGAATATTTAAGCCATAAAAAGCAGATTGCAAGTATCCTGCAATATATTCAGTAGTTGACCACCATTAGTTGTAGTGCAGGCATGAAGTTTCATGTATTCTAGTCCATGAAGTTATCTTTTCCACCATTGACAAACCCAAGCTTCTTAGTCAGGTAAACTACAAGAGGGTACATATGCTTAGAATACTTACTTGAAGTTCTGCTTAGTTTATTGCTTGCTCTTTGATTTTTTTTCTTTTTTTGTGAATTCTATCTGTATGCTGTTAGTGGAATACTGAAGGGAGAGATCTCTTATAGAAGGCTTTGTAGCATGTTAATTCTATTAACCAACTACTATATTAATAGCTGATAACCTGTGTAAGAAATTACAAAAGCAGGTCGAGTTACATAAAATTCTGTATGACATTTTTGCTGGATTCTCTTCTTGTTTTAATTCTCATCCATTATATGTGTATCCAGATTTATGGCTTGTGTTGCGACAAACCTTTGTGCTTTCTCCTTCACCAGTTAAGGAAACAAAGTTTCATGTTTGGAAATATAATTAAGTAAAGGAAGTGTGTCCTCTCTAATATTTTAAGCTTTCGGATGAGATGAACATACTTTAAGATGGTATCAGAGTTAGTGTCCTCATGTTATGTTATCCATGCTTATGCTAACTAGGCCTTGGTGTGCGGAGTGCTGGGGTGGTTAGATTGTCCCACGTTGGTTGAGGAATTGGCTGTTGTTTTCTTATGTTGTCTTGGACAATCCTCACCACATGAGCTAACTTTATAGTTGACTTAGGCCACTTAGTTCAACACTTCACCGCTGAATCTTTCATTAATATCATTAACTTTGTAATTTGATTTTAATATATAGTCACAGACGTTCACTCATACCTGATTTCTGTTTTTTTGGGTAAGAATATTACAGAAATCTTCCAAAAATTCATCTTGTATTTGTTTCATAATTTTATCTTCATGCTAAAAGTCTTCTTTGAATGCCTATATCCTGGCGGTTTTGGATAATGTTATGTTGAGATTGATGGTTATAATTCTTTTCCTTGGAATTTTATTCATTTGGCTATAATTCATTTGATTATAATTCTTTTTCCTTGATTAATGTGATGTCATGTTCTTTAACTGACTGCTTCCTATTCTAGCTCTCTGCTTTACTTTCTGACATAGGGCTTAATATCCGAGAAGCTCATGTTTTCTCAACAATTGATGGGTACTCATTAGATGTATTTGTGGTGGATGGATGGCCTGTTGAGGTATGCTCTGTAATGCTCACCATTTTTAGTAGGTTTGACGTACATATTCTAACATCTTGTTTCATATCAGTGTTTCTACATTACCACTTACTTTTGTGTGAGTTCTCTGGTGGGTCTTCTTAATTTAATAGATTTTAGTTTTGGGGTTTAAAGAACAAATGATTTAGGGATTATATGATTGTACTCTTAATTTAGTCTTTCAACATGTTTGCGCATCGCGATCCTAACAACTATTTTAAAAATATTTTTTTTTATAGATTAGCATGTAATAAAAAAGAAGAAATATGATCAATACTTAGTGAAAGCTATTAAAAGTTTATAATAATTGTTTCAATTTATAAGATATTATTTTTGTATTATTTTGTTAGGGTGAAAAGAACATATTTTATATATTTAAAAAAAAATGCTAACTTAATTTTGTCCTTAATTTTCTATTTGTCGTGGATCATCAAATGAAACATAAATAATTTGTCCTCTTAGTTTTTTAAAAGTATGGATGCTTATTTTTATACAAGGAACTACTGAACTTGGACCTTTTTAAATATAGTTCTTCAATATGATTTACTTAACAAAAAAACATACTTGTTAGGTACATAATCTTTTTATAAAATTCTTATTTTTTAAAAAAAATTGTGCTAGTTAAAATATGAAAATTAACAAAAAGCATGTCAATAGTAATACAAAGGAAAGAACGACTAACTATTTTAATCAAATAATATATAAATATAAAAAATCGTAATAATAAAATATAAAAGCAATCAATATTAATATTTCAATAAACAACTCGATACAAAATTATAGTCATTTTTATTTGTTTTAATTATCAAAGAATAATTATACAAATAATAAATAGTGAATATTTTAATTCTTGAGGAGTTATAAAACTCACTAAATGTATAATTATTTAGAGAAAATCACAATTTAAATAATGACAAAAAAAGCAAAGAATGGGAGGAAAAGAATAAGTAGGACTTTTAGTATATAAGAGTTTCTGCTATTGTTTGTTTTTATATCATATTGAAATTATTTATAATTTTTTTTCATCTTCACACATTAAATTTTTTTATCTTTATTTACTCAATATATTTCACTAAAATATACTTCATTTTAGTGTGTGTATTTAGTATGTTTTGTTGTGGTCATTTTAGAAAATAAAAAAAATCATTATTTTAGTACAGATTTTTAAAAATCTCGAGTTATAATAAATTATACATACTCCCTCTATTTCAAAATAAGTGAAATTGTTGAGAAAAGTTTTTCCATTTTTGCCCTCATTTACAATGTTAAATAATTATAAAAGAAATGAATTTTAAATACAAAATATATACATAACGTCATCAGGAAATAAATCATTTTTTTAAAAGTAATTTAGAGCGCTCATTTATGAAATCGATAAATGACATAATTTTGAGTAAATTTAATACATGATGTAAATGAAAAAAAAATGAAAGAAGTCTTAAAAAGGGAGAAAGAATTAAGTAAAAAGGAATTAAGGAGAAGTGTTTATTTAGCAAAAAATATAAATAGATAAAAAGAATTGTAAAAGTCGTGAGATGGATCAACACGCTAATAAGAAGAACAAAGCAACATAGTAGTGTTTCCTCATTAATTTTAAACAAAATTAGAGTATGTCTTCTTACCAAAAGTTTACAACTATAAATAAAGAAAAAATATATGTTTCTATGAAAATGTTCTACGTGCAAATCTTGAATAGTTGATGTGCAAATGATAGACTAAAATCTACATCCATTATATTTTGGGAAAACTAAATGTAGAGGTAATGAATTGAATCGTAGAAAGGAGTTGAGTAGATATGTCATTTAAGTAGAAAACGTGAATAAACAAAGATTTTTGTAATTTATGAGATGTAATTAGTTGTAATAAACATTATTTTTTTTAGTTATCAAACAAATTAATTAATGAAGAGAGTGAACTCATTTTTTCAGTTTCGTAATCAACTTAAACAAATGTTAATTTTCTCTATAACTTAAGAAAATATGTTTATTGTAATTGGATATTTGCAGAACAAAATTGGTTCATTCTGAAAATTTTTATCAAATTAGAAGAATTAAATGTTTTGTGAAATTTGAGCCCCACAATCATATAGAAAAACTAATTTTACACAAGTGTTAACAAATATGAAACAAAAAGTTAATGGAGGAGGTGTCATCTCCTTTTTAGTCAATTCAAAATCCACAAAAGAAAGAAATGTGTTATATCATCTAAATATCAAAAGTTGATGGAATATTCTTGATAGATAAATTATGTCATATTAACATGTATATACATAATATATACTGATATAGAATATGGATTTTATATCCAAAAGACAAAAGTTTATGTAATGAAAATATCAAAATATTTCTTTAAGCAACAAAATAATCCGTGGAAGATCATGTTGCCCTTGATACAAAAAGTGTGCTTTGTAATATAATCTTGTTCTTGAAGGGTACATATCTTGATGGATAAATAATTAATTGAAAAATTATACTAGCAACAATAAGTGCATCTATATATTTGTAAATGATTGAAACTTCTACTTTTACATATTTTACTCTGACCAACTCTTGATGAATCTCGCATCGCCGTTAAACTTTTTTCTTCATATTGGTGACTTGTAACAAATTAATTTACAAGAAGAAATTCTAAAAAAATATATCTATAATCTTAATAAAAGCTGAAAAACAAAAAAAAATATTAACAACATCAAGTTGGAGAAAATTGAAATGGACATGCAACAACACCATAGATGATTGTTATTTATATATGAGAATTAAGTAGAAGGAAGTTGAGAAGACATCTTATTTAATTAGAGAATTCAAATAGATGGAGGTTTTTTTTGTAACTTTCATGTGATATAATTATATGTAATGAATATGATTATATTTATTAATTTTTTAATAAATTGATTTATGAAAAACATGAATGGAAAAACTCAAAAAAGAGAGAAAAAAGTTAAATAGTTTTATATAAATTAAATAGTAAAGATAAAATACTTAAAATATTTTAAAAAAAATATTTTTCTTTCGTAATTGTAACTAGAAGAAGGACAAAAAAATAAAAAAATATTTTTTTATTAATAATATAAATTAGAGAGGTATGAATTATGAGTAATTATTTTTTGTAAGTTGGCATGTGAAGAGTCCTTGTTCTAAATGTTTTTCCATGAATATAATACTTATTTTAATAAATTAAAGAACGACTTTTGCAATAAAATAATTAATTTAAATAAGAAAGAAAAGCCAAGAAAATGAGAAAAAAGATTAATACATGTGGAGATCATAGAGAGGTGCCACATCACCTTGTCTATGATTCTCCTTTATAAAATATAAGATGTTAAGATTAAGATTAAGATTTACTATTTCTATCCTTGAAGATTTGTAAGTATGCTGACTAATGTCTTGACGTTTTGGTCAATTATCATGAGATACGAGCAAAACCTTTCTTTTTAATAAAATAAAACATGCATCTACACACACGCACATGAGGAAAATCTTCTATTTAGTCAGCATAAGGTAGTGTAAACCTCAGTGGAAGTGAGCATTGTGATTATATTTCTTGCATGGCAGGTGTCTGTGCTGCGTGCAAAAGTTGCTGACTTTGCCATGTTATGGTCAGGATACAAAGTCTTTGCATGAAGAATTGGGGAAAGCGATTGCCAGAAGTGAGGTGATTCTTTTTTGATTTCTTCTTGTCGTGATATTGTTCCTTTTTGACTCTTACCGATTTCGTTGTGGAGTTCCGTTGAATAATCAGTTTCAGGGTTGCTTGCAACGCCCTCTAAGAATAATAATCATTTGAACTTATCAAATATAGAAAGAATAATAATCATTTTAGAACGTAACTACAACAATAACAACATACCTGGTGAAATCCCACAAGTGAGGTTTGAGGAGAGTAGAGTTTATGCTACCCTGTAGAGGTAGAGTGCAACAAATTCAAGAGCAAAGAAGAAGAAAATATAGCAACTATTAAGGCGAGCAGTGCAAGAACTATAAGAATACAACCAGTACAACAACAAACATCAATAAGCCTAAACCTTCGAAAAGCTAGACAATGATCCATTATTTACTGTCTTATTACCCTAATACTCATCCTCCTATCTAAGGTAGTGGTGAATCTAGAATTTTCATTTAGGGAGTTCAAAAGATTCAAATAATAAAAGTATATTTCTTGGGATTTGACTTGGACTCAACCTCTAATTTTGTGTTCAAGGGATCAAAATCTATATATGTACATAAACAATAAGTACCTTATATATACTGTGTAACTTTTTGCCGAGGCAGTTTGGGTGAACCCCCTCACAACCCTCTAGATCCACCCCTGTCTATGGTCATATCCTCAGTAATTTGAAGATGTGTCAGTGTCATGTCTAATCACCTCTCCCCAATACTTCTTCGGCGTACTCTACCTCTTCATGAACCTGCTATATCCAACCTCTACAACATTACTGTGGTTTTCAAGGTGTGTTGCTAATTCTGAAGAAGGAATTTCTGTATGCCTTCCCCCACGTATGGGAAAAAGAAATGGACAAAAAGGAAAAGGATAATTTCAGTTCCACTGATATGTAACATAACTTATCTTTTTCTAAAAAAAAAGTTTCAATTCCACTGATGTAGCCTTTTCCTACTTAGGGTGGCATAGGATAAACCATGAGTAACTACTTTTGAAAAGGAAAATATTTTTGAAAAGGGGGGTAGGCCATAAGTAACTAGATTTACTTCCAATATAGTATCATATTTATGTGGATGATATAGCTGCTATATTCTTGAGATTTCCAGTTGGCCATCATCAATCAATTTACTTCTAGCTGATATGTGATGTGTACTGTTTATCATACCAATTTTGTTCCAAAAAATATATATGTGATGGGTATCATTAGTAGAATCTCTGCAGGATTTGTTTCTTTGTTGTTATTGAAGCTCATAACTGTCATGTAATTTACTTAACCAGTTGTAATATATGCTGGATGACACAGGGAACGTGGTCAGGTTCATCTCATTCTAGGTCAGCTGCTGAAAAAGTTATAATCGCACAATCAAAACCCGAGGACTGGGAAATTGATAAAAGATTACTGAAGATTGGAGAAAGAATTGCATCAGGATCTTGTGGCGATTTGTGAGTTTATGATTGTATTCCTCAACTGATTTTTCATAAATTTGGGTAGCTTTTCATGACCTTGTCTTCTAAATGTTTACTCATATGAAGGTATCGTGGGATGTATCTTGGTATGGATGTTGCAATCAAGGTCCTTAGATCTGAGCATTTGAATGACACATTGGAAGATGAGTTCGCTCAAGAAATAGCAATTTTGAAGTGAGTGATGTAACTCTTATGTCTTGTGTAGCCTATTAGCTTAAGGGATGAGAAGGAAGGTATTGGGTTGCTTCGAACTTCTCATATATATTGTGTTGCCTACTAGATGGATTATATTAACTTGTAAGACGAAGTCGAATTTGGTTCCTGGATGAAGACTTGTTTGGTAAGAGATCAAGGGTACCGTAGTACTCTTTATTGCTTGTAAATCATGAAAAAGGTTCCAAAGATTTATATGTTAGATACAGAAATCTCTTTATGTGTAGATGCTGGTACTATGTGATCTTTTAAACACTGAGTTAGATAACATGCTTTGTTCTGTCATATGAATTTCATGATGACAAAAGAAAGATAGTGAATTGGAGTGTGCATCAATTACTTAAGAAGTTCTCTTTTGACAGGCATATTATTAAGTAATGTGTTACAATTGGCAATATTATGTGCTGTTATATTTTGTGAATGGCATATTATTTATTAGTATATATATAGAACAAGAACAACTTCGATGCAGCTTTACACATGTTTGTAGTCTATCTACCAAAAGAAATCAGGCACCTATACCATGCTCATTAATGTGGTTCACCTCTAAGATCTTCTCCACAATCTTACAATTTGATCTTATTGCATACAGGCAAGTTCAGCACAGAAATGTTGTTCGTTTCATTGGTGCATGCACAAATTCGCCTCATTTGTGTATAATTACAGGTATGCTTCTTTCTGGGACAAAAGTTGCATGGTTTCTTCAGAACTGTTATCATAGTCATGTCATGGCCTTTTGGCTGTCTTTATCCATAAAATTGAAGTTGCGAATGCTCCAGTGGCTGGTAGTAAACTGAAGAGTGGTGTTTAGTTGTTCAATGCTGCAATTTCCTGTACTCTATTATTTCATTTGATTGCACCATCTAGTTATTGTTGTTATGTGCACATTATGTCCGGATAGGGATAAGTACGAGATAGAGAGAATTTAGTTTTAGAGGACTCCTAATTATGCTTTAAAGACAAATTACTCACTCAGTAATGAACAGAAATTCTCCCAAATAGTATGGAATATATAGAGGACTCATATCACCACCCAGCTGGCATATTTAATTGATTGATCGATGGACTGATTGCTTTTTAATGCTTTTGCATACAAGAGAATGCGGTCGTGTGCATGCATTTCTTGTCATTTCTTTTGTGTTTTAAGCTATCAATGCAAGGTAGTCTGCTTATAATGCTCAAATTCTGAAATATTCACCCTCTGTTAATGCTGGTCGTTTGTGTAGAATTCATGCCTGGTGGGAGCTTGTATGAGTACCTGCATAAAAACCATGTTGTATTGAAGCTCTCGCAATTGCTAAGCTTTGCAATTGATGTCTGCAAAGGAATGGAGTACTTGCATCAAAACAATATCATTCACAGGGATTTGAAGGCGGCAAATTTACTTATGGATTCAGACAATGTAAGTTTCTCAAACAATGAAGTAATTCCATCCTTAGTCTTGTTACAATTTGGCTGCATGAGCACTGATCCTTTTTTCTTTGGTCACAAACCAATCTTTATCTGTGATTCTTCAACGTCTTTTTCCTACTTTCTGAATAACTGTTATGTTCAGTGCTTATTCTATTGAACTGTAGGTTTTCTATAACTGGTACTATATCATAATGGGATTGTAATTGAATTATAACAGCTGGAAAAGGAATGTCCTATTTTATCTTATTTTAGATTTTCTCGTGACAATGAATTCATAATGTTATGCTTGAGGGAAGAACGGGATTCTCGATCACGGTAAAAATGGAAGCTTTTGAATTATTATGGATCTTCACACCTAACATGTTTACCTGGGATCAATTTGTGTACTTATTTGTTTCTCCTCTTTTTTAGTGCTCATCATTTGAACGTGCACCTATTCTTTTTTGCTTTAGTTTTGCATTATCTACTCCATGCTTATTTTGATTGACTTTATAATCTGCGATAAGGTTGTTAAAGTGGCAGATTTTGGTGTTGCACGTTTCCAAAATAATGGAGGTGTCATGACAGCTGAGACTGGAACATATAGATGGATGGCTCCTGAGGTTCGACTATCTTCTTTTCTAAATCCGTCAATTACTTGATTCAGGAGAATAATTCAGTTATATATACTAGTTGTGGATGGAGCTCACTTGAGTTTGGACAGTCAAATATAAAGGCTTGCTAGCTTGTTGTGCTGCTGGAATCTCTTTGCAGCTACTTTGGTTGAAAAGGAATGATTCATATATATGCTTATTTTGATAATATAAATCTGAGATCCCTCTTGTTTTCTGAATTTCATCGACACTCACTTGTATATTGAAATGTTAATATTTTTATGACTGTATTAGTTTACTTACCATTCCTTTGTTGCATAGCATAACATATAATGTATAACAATTAAAAATTACATTGTTGTACAAGGGTGTTTGAGACATTTGGGAAGTCTTCACATTGATACTGATGCTCCTTTGTCATGCCGCTATTGTGACTTATTGCCATGCTCGAAAATATGTATAGTGTTTCCTCACAGTCAGGGGAACGCTTTTAAATATATTTTGCTTAGAAACTAAGGGGGTAGGTTTTTTATTTGGGGGGGGGGGGCTTCTCGTTTAGTTATTACTACAGCAGTGTGCAAGATCTTGGTCATGTTTCCATGCTTTTCTATGATAGAGGAGTATCTTCTGTGCTTTCTTTGTTTCCTCTACCCTGTTTGATGATAATTTATTAACACCAAGGGCTGCATTTTGTGGCTAATGTATATGAAGTATATTACCACGTGCATAACTATCTTGTGCTGCTGCAAACTTTGGTCTATTAACCTTTTTTTTTAGATCATCAATCATCAGCCCTACGATCAGAAAGCAGATGTGTTTAGTTTTGCCATTGTTATTTGGGAGCTTTTAACAGCAAAGGTATTGACCTGTCATGAAAAAGGTCACATGATCGTATTAGAAGTTAAGCTTGTTATCCTCTGATTTGTAAGCTTTTTGATGCGACAGGTTCCATATGATACCATGACTCCACTACAAGCTGCACTAGGAGTAAGACAGGTATGTACCACTGGAATGAAATTTTGTGTCACATGATTGTATTAGCAAAATTTCTTTCCTAGTTTGTTGTATCTCAAATTTCTATTAGCATGTGGAGCATGTTTTGAATCATATTTTCCTTTAAGCAAGGTAGTCTATGTTGTTTTAGGCATCTAAAGACTTCACATTTTAGGAGTGCATATTTGTGTTGTAAAACGTGCATGGATATGAAGTTTCTGTAGCGCTGTATGGTTAGCTAATGCTAGCTAGCCTCATCACATGCTACCTGTGCTTTACGAACCCTTGAACACAAGTCAGATCCCTTTTATCCAAATGAATAGTGTGCATAGCTATATGCTTCCATCTTGTGTGAAGATCTTAGTCCTTTTAATATGCATAGATGATGTGCATAGCTAAACACCGATGCATGCAATCTCTGTATTATGTACATAATTGCTTATAAATCCATTATGTAAATGGACAATTATTTTAGGAAAAGAGGAAATACTTGTGTCCCATGTCATCTGTTATATTTCATCCTTGCCTCTTTGTTGACCCTATTTATATTATGTCTCCCTAGGGCCTCCGACCTGAGCTTCCAGAAAATGCACACCCGAGGCTATTAGACTTGATGCAGAGATGTTGGGTGGACATCCCTAGTGATAGACCCAGCTTCTCTGAGATTAAAGTTGAGCTTGAACTACTCTTACATGAAATTGAGGTAAAAAAATGTCTGAATGCGCAATATTTTGATTCAATGTCCCTTAATTAAAATCATGTAACAGTTTCTATGATGGTGTGTCTCACAGAATACTATAGAGGCATCAAAAGGGAGCTGAATGATGCGCGCTTGCATATATTGGACTAACGACACTTCTTACCAGTAACAATAGAAGATTTTCTTTTACTTACGCCTTATCTACCCGAACCTTGACTTTTTTGGTGAGATATCTATGCCACAAGCATAAGGTAGAGTCCACTGCTTTTGGCCATTTTGGAGTTTATAGTAAAGGTGATTCATTTTGTGATAACTAAGTACGACTTGTAAAATCTTTCTACCTATTTTACCCATTTGAGAAGTTTGGTCGCGTACTAGCATTTTTCTGTTTTACGAATTTGGTTCAGATCAAAATAATTAAATTATAAATATTTCCCAACATAATTTTTTTTTTTAACTTTTGTTGGGGCATGTTGAGTTGGGGGTATATAATGATGAGTTGTTTCCCTTAATCCCTCTTTTGTACAGCACCAAATATAACCGCTATTTACCTCTATCCCCTCATTCTTACAGTATCAGTGTGTACATACATGAGGTAAACTAGTTCATTCTAATCCACCTCTTCAAATTATGGACAATCAAAATACTAAAAATTTTCTTCAACCTCTTGTTCTATAAAGTCAAGTAATTGGTGATTATCATCTTCTAGATCAAAGCCATCATCATGAAACGTCGAGAAGATTCACCATGTAAGGTACAAATCTCATCAAATGGCGCTGTATTAACCCTCCACCCTATTTAAAACGACAAGTTCGTTCTTCATTTCCCCAACAATCCCACATTTCTGTTTCAACATCAGACGAGGATCATGAAATCGCGGAGTGCTTATTGCTCTTGGCTAATGGACTTGATGATAAACATCTCGAGAACGCTCATCAATTGAAGGAGTTGAAAATAGGTGTGATTGAATCAGGGACACTGTTGTAAATTTTAAGCGTTCATGGAAGTATTTGGTTCACACCAGGCATTAGGTGGACATAGGGCAACTCATAAGAACGTCAGGGGTTGTTTTGCAAATACAACACTGTATCCAGCAATTAGGATTGTTAGAAGATGGCACTAATATGTGCTATCGTTGCCAATGTCAATCCAATGGAGCAAGGAAATAGTATTGCTGATAATTTGGATCTTAATTTTCCTCCTGTTACAGTATCAAGAGACGATCAACATAATTCTTCAGCTAATCATTCATCTATTTCAGGATTGGAATTGGATTTGAGATTAGGGTTATAATGTATAGTAGGAATATGTAATAATGATATTAGTGTTTCATAATTATTGCCTAGGAATATAGGCTAAAGTTTCAATGATATTTGTGTTGTATCATCATATATGCGAGTTTGAGTAATTAATTAGAAGGTTTTATGACTCTACGAATAGAAGTTCAGCTTTTTAGTTGTGATTTGTGCTCCTTAATGTCACACACTGTATAGGTTAATTACTATAGCAAAATTGTTTACATTTAATGAATTGTTAAAGAGTACGTAGTTCATTCAAATGTTTGTTTTATTTTGATTTGTTTAGGCATTATGTAACGATATAGAAAAATAAATTTAAGAGATACAAAATCCCAATTACATAATCGCAAGCCAAAATTTGATATTTGATATGAAATTGATGTTGTTGATTTGTTTTAGTACATTAACAATGGGGAACTGGAAAAAGAAACTATTAAACTTGTTCAATCAAATGATGGATATTAACTAGGATTGAAAGGTAGAATTAAATCCTCTCACCAATCCATGAATTTGTATCACAAGTGATGGGTGAATTTGCCTCAGAAAATGGTGATATGGAATCTCTATCCTATCAGTTTCAATTTCAGGTATGATTATATAAAAAAGGGACATCAATTTGAAAATCATTTAAAAATATTCCAAGTATAAATTAATTAAGAAAATATATTTTGAAAAAATCGCCACTTAATTTTTGAAAAGATTCTAACAGATAAACCTTTTAAAAATTTATAGAAAATGTCATATTTCGACTTTGAGAAAATGTTGGCACTCAAAGTGTACGCTAACATGTGATTTATCTATTGTTTAATTAAAAATATGAACAACTTTTTTGAGAAAAATTATGTAGGACAGTACAAGTAAATTAGAGTTTTTGAATCATTTGAAAGAGGAAAAATTAACTTAAACCACTGAAAGTTAGATAAATAGCCAAAATGATAGATTAAGTGAACAAACATTTGAACAAAATCAAGTAAATCAATATAAAACAAATTTCGGTGCATGAAAATTCATATTTTAGTAGAGACCTAAACAACAGATAATTTGTCGTGATAAAAATTTGATGGAAATTAAATATTAACTTTTGACAAATTTAAATTAGTCTATACTTAAGAGATTATTTTGGACCTATCGTCAAATATTAAATTGTTTTTAAGAAACATTTTCTCAAAAATTTCCTTTTATTCCACTCCACTTGAAGAAAAAAAATATATAAATAGAAATAGTTACGAAAATGATGTCTTATGTCTCAAACATATTCAAAATAACTCTTTAGATATATCTTGATTAATTTTGACATTTTAAATTTATCAAAAGTGAGTATTTACTCATCAAATATTCATCTAACAGAAACTATACATCTTCTTTTTAAATTAAAAAAAAATGAAAACTCATAGTTAGAGGGGTAACTTTTGCTATTCTACTTGTAGTTTCTATTATTTTTAAAATCTATTTATGGTGTTGTAATTTTGAATGATATAGTGTTTGGGATTTCATTCAACTTTCCAAATATGTAGTTGGGTTAACTCTACATTCTTTCCACAATTTATATTTAATTAATACTCCCTTCATCCGGTATTGTTTGTCATGTTGTGCTTTTCAAAAGTCAATTTGACTAATTTTTAAAGTTAAATTGTATCACATTAATTTGATATTTTAAACAAAACAAAATTAGATATTCTAAAATTATATAAAGTTATAATTTTTTTGCATATTAATATGATTAAAAAAATACGTCTTAAAATATTAGTCAAAGTTTTTATAGTTTGACTGTAAAAATAAAAACTATGACAAACAATACCGAACAGAGGAAGTATTTATTATATATTTGATGGAAACCTAATATTTTCATATTTATAAAATTAAAGGATCAAAACTTAGTATGAATGTATTTAAGTATCTACCTCCTAAAATTAGTCCTAATTAAAAAAAAATGAAACATTTTTGTCATTTTTTAATTCAATTAATATTGGAGTTGGTGAACTAGTCCATTTTTCTACAAGCATATAAGATGGTCAACATCTAATTTATAAACTCCCTCTTATTGTCAATCATGATCTCAAGGTCTTATATTCTACATGATTATTTCAATGTGTCCCCACTTTAATTTGAATGATAATTCTACACTAATTAATGACAAGTAAAATAAAATTTTTGGATTTTATTTTGTATTTAATAGCCTTTTAGTTAGACATTCTTATTGGAATTATTATACATGAGAATATAATAATAAGTTAATAGCCTTTGATGTTTGATTCTTTTAATGTGTTTTTCAACTTAGAAATTGAGAGGAATATGCACTTCATACTATTTTATTCATGTTTAGTTGAACAATATATACACTCTAGCGATCAACAAATTAAATCCGGAATAATGAATTAACCTTATAATTTATCGATAGAACTGATTGAATTAAAAATAATCAGCAAATATATAATCTATGTATAGCGATTTAAAAAATTTAGTAAATTTATTAGACTATTTGTACGAAGAACGCATTCATATTCTTGTTTGATATCATAGGTTTAACTTTTCTTTTTATGCAAATGAGCCTATGATCTCGAACTTATTTGAAAAATAGGTTAATTTGAATTAGTAAAACCTAAAATTGGAATGAGAACGTGATGAAACAAAAAGGCAAATATATAAGATAAAACTTAATCACCTTATTTCGTTGTTATTATTATTTAAAAGAGTGTTAATATAAGAAAAACTTATAAAAAATCTCATTTATTTATTCCAACAAAAATCTCAATATTTCATTGCTCTTAAATATACTCCTTGATAGAGGCGGACCTACCCTATGTCAAAGGGTGTCGACAACACTGTTTCTTTAAAAATTTTACTATTATATATAATAAAAAATCTGAAAAAATAAAAATATCCCTGTAAATAATATTAATGACACTGCGTGAATAATTGAGCTACTTGGCTCGTTGGTTTGTAAGGCCGGATTTATCTTTTATTTTTGAGATATTCTCCGAAAAGTTTAATATTATAAAGATTTGAATATCCAATCTTCTATATATATAGTCAAATTAGGTTAAAATAAGCCAATTATTTATAGTTAAATTAGGTTAAAATAAATCAATTGAACTAGAATATTCAGCATTATTCCTAATGAAGCTATTATGAATACATTTCAAAATACGAAAACTACCTTAGGAAATTTAGTAGTCTACAACTTTACTTGACTTTCGTTTTATTAGTACGCTTTAAATAGTTTTTATTAATATTATATCAACTATTTATTGTTTATTAATTTTTAAATATTGACACCGTTTACAAAAAATCATGCGTACACTATCGTTCTTTGATTGTTCGATACATTGAAAATGATACATTACTTAATCGGAGGCATGTTCCAAGAGAGAAAATGGATATATATCTGAAATAAGGGGATGTATCCGAGAGAAAATAAAGATGTATCTGAAAGAAAAAGAATACATTCGAAAGGAGATAAAAATATAATATATTTGAAAGGAGATAAAAATATAGCCGAAAGATATTAAATATAATTTTTTTAAAATAATAATTTTTTTAGAGATTATATCTTATTTATATATTTCTTTTCCTTAATATAATTGATAGGTCATTGAATTTGAAATTCAATTTCTTATTAGAAAACTCTTAAAGAGGTATGGTGCCCCGACCCGGCGGCTTGACCATATTTTAGCCATATATGCTTATGGGTACAAAAAAGTTGGTAAAACTCATTGATGACCATTTTAATTTCTTATAAATAGTTCTTTCATTAAATAATTTTTTTACACATTATTTGAAAATAATATAATTAAGAAAATATTTTAATTGATTTACTATTTTATTTTTTAAATACATTTTATTTATGTGTGTCCATCAACATCAAAATTAACAATGGAGGAATTTATTTGAAACTTTACAATATTTATATTTTTAAATAGAATTAGTTTTACACCTTGTTCCGATGATTGCCACCCGTTGTATTGCATTGTATTATAAGCTTAAAAAAAAGTCTGTTTTAATATTGTCATTTAAATTCTATTGTATCATTTCATTTGAATTCATCGTTAGATAACACAATGAAAAGACACGTTTTATGTAACGATTGATTTGGTGTAATCGCGTCGTTACCTTTATATTTTCTTCTCCTTTTTTTCCTTTATTTATTATTAAATAATCATAATTAATCTTTTATTCTACCTTTTCATAATAGTTCTACTAGGTATCCTACTTTTCTTTGTCGATTTATCGATCAAATTATGTATGTATGACATTATATAACAATGGAGAACGATACAACCCATCAAAACATTGCATTCATTAAACAATACAATATGATATAATATAACTCAAACACAATACATGACATGATGAAACAATACATACAATCATAAAAACAAAGTGTTAAGATATTTTTTGAATTAATTTTATCTAATTTTATTGTGACAAATAATTTGAGACATATTTTTATAATGTTGACATATAATATGGGACCAAGTAGCACTATATATGCTTGAATCTGTCAAAAGAATAATTCAAATTACTAAGAAACACATATAGAGATAAAGAATTTGTGAACTCTAGATGATCTATACGATCTGTTGATTTTGAAGGAAATTAATTGATTGATAATAATGTAGTAATGCTTCACTTCAGCTATTAATTAATTAAGGACAAGGGCTGGTTAAACACGTAGACCAAAGCCAAAATTGAACAGAAACATTTGATTATTAAAAAAATTAAGATACTCTTTTAGTAAAATACATTCTTTTAGCTCTTTAAGAAATAAATTGTTACTAATTTCTTATCATATTTTTCCTAATAATTCTTATTCAATTGATAATCACTAATCTTTTCTATCTTTTTTGACGCATAATATTCTTAAAGTGTCAAATTTTTTCGAATAATTCTTTTCTTTTATATGCTAAAGTTTATATTTTTAAAAGATACTACTCATTCTTTTTTTTTTGGTCAAAAAAATCTATTATTGCTAAAAACAAAATTGGGGTCCTAAGGCAAAGATTTTTTCTAAATCATTAAAGCCGCCACTGATTAAGGAGTACTAATATATAGTTAAGTCTCACTTCACCTATTAATTAAGGAGTAATATAGTATTCTTTTTTAGCAAAATCAGAATAACTCCAAGACTAAAAAATTATTTAAGCGTGACAAAAGAAAAATTCCAAAACTATTCAACCTTCAAAAAAATAAATAAAAAAATTGATGAGTAGTAGTCTTTTCTTTAGAATTGTTTGACTTGATTAAATAAGATTTTGATGTGAATTTAGTTAAAGAATTTGTAACTTTTTTAAATAAATCTATATATTTAAAAGCATTATATTTAAAGAAAATATTTTCTGATTATTCAATTACTAATCAAGATAAATGAATTAAAACAGAAGAATAATGATTTTGGACTTAAAAGACTAAAAAGGAGAATTATATGGTTTTTCCCATGGTCCATTTTAAAGGTGAATAACTTCTTACAAATTTTCTTTATGAAAAAAGAAAAAGAAAAAAATGATAATAGAAAATTTGAGAGACATTGAAAACTTTCTTATATTGTTTGGAATGTGAAAGCAAGAAAGGAAACATATTTTGAAAAATATTTTGGTGAACTTTGTTTTGGGATAATAACACTTCTGGTCCTTTAATTATTTATAAGTAAAAGTAATTTGCAAGTTAAATTATTGATGTTCGTGAGGTTGAGTGAAAGATTTTTTAATTTATACAGGTTTTGTGATCTTTTGAAAAGATTAGTTCAGACATAAAAACGTTAGAAAAATTATCTACTGGTATTAATTTAATGAAAATTATTTTGCTTATATTAATTGTCATTGTATTTATTGAAAAAGCTATCGACTTTCAACAGTAAAATTATCAAGAATGACTCGCGCTATCAAATGAGTAATGATTTTTTTTTAAGTGATTGTTTGTTATCTTATCTAGAAAAAGATGTATGTGATATTATATTTTTATGATGCTATTATTAAGATCATATAGTTGTGTTTTCAAAGGAAAATGCATTAGTATGCCCTTAATTTATGCCTGAAATTTCAGAGACATTTATACTATACTAAGGTCCTATTATTCTCTTGGATTTATTTTATAAGTAATTTTTTACCCCTTTTCGATCTACGTGATATTAATTAGAAAAAAAAGTCAATCTCAACGTTGGACCCACAAGATAATGTCACATAGGCCGAAAAGGGATAGAAAATTATTAATAAAATAAGTTCAAGGAATAAATAGGACTTTAATATAATATAAGTATATTTCTGAAATTTCATACATAGGTTAAATGAGTATTTATGCATTATCCCATAATTAAACTGTATTTTAACATACATACTTGGATGGTAAGAAAACGTTGAAATCTTCCTTCTCTTTTATCTCACTCTCAAAGATAAAGTTTTAATTGACACAATTCTCTCTTTTGTGAGGAGTCGTCAACATCAAACACATAACCTTTCTTTCTCGATTGATTCTTTCTCTTAATAAACAAATTTTGATTTGTATAGTTCTTTATATTATACGGATATTTTTACTTCTCATAAGTAAAATTGAAAAAAGTTAAATTAAGATACGATTATTTGTCAGTTGATAAATTTAGAAATAACAAATTAATATATAGAATAAAATATAATTTTCTTATATACTAAATGTGACAAATAACAATAAAAATATAATTTTAGTAAGTGTACAAATTAGAGTACATGTAAAAATATTTTGGATCAATTAGCATATATAATAGGATTGTTTAGGGCAATTGTATAGGGAGGGTTAGAGAAGAGATGAGAATCCTATTCCTACAATTGGGACCAACTTTTCCACTAGGGAATAAAGTATTTATATATATATATATATATATATCACATGCATCTAGTCCTTTTCTCTTAATTAAATTAACAATTAATGCAAATCCAGCTAGGAATATTTTGTTTTCTTGTCTCTTTGTGTTTCTCATTTCTCAACCTTAATTTATAAAAAAGACCTAGCACTAGCTAGACAAAAAAGTCTTCTAGATTCCCCCCAAAAACAAAGCAAAATAAAAATGAGAAGTAGTATCTCTTGGAATTTGGAAAAGGAAATCACAACAATGTTATTCAATGAAACTTATTGATCTTATTATTACAAAGTAGTTTGACTTATAAAATTCAAAAAGTCAAAATTCAAAAGCACATAAAACATGTACGACTATGGTACGTAAATAAATATATATTACATGCATCCAATATATAAATATTTCAACAACTTCACGAGATATACAACTACGTGAAGTTAATGGCACAAAACACAAAACAAAATAAGATCCCTTTGTGGCTTTAATTACTACTTCTTTAAAACTCTTTAATTTATTCTGATCCCATGGGCCTTTTCCTTCTTAATTATTCCTCTTGACCTGCATGGATTGAATTATCTATGGATTAGATGAAATTCAAGTATTATAGGCAATGTGCTTAATTTAGTAGAATAATATAAAATTGTGATAAATATATTACCTCGTTCGAGATTGTGAAACTAGTAGTGGCTAGGAGGAGGTGGAGAAGTGTAATAGTAAGGGGCTGGAGACTTGTGAACGGGAGGTGGGGGTGATTTGTATTTGTAAATGGGTGGTGGTGGTGACTTGTATTTGTAAACTGGTGGTGGAGGAGATTTGTACTTGTAAATAGGTGGTGGTGGAGACTTGTACTTGTAGACTGGAGGTGGTGGAGACTTGTACTTATAGACGGGTGGTGGTGGAGACTTGTACTTGTAGACTGGAGGTGGTGGGGACTTGTACTTGTAGACGGGTGGTGGTGGAGATTTGTACTTGTAGACCGGAGGTGGTGGAGACTTGTATTTGTAAACGGGTGGTGGTGGAGATTTGTACTTGTAGACTGGAGGTGGTGGAGACTTGTACTTGTATACTGGAGGTGGTGGAGACTTGTACTTGTATACTGGAGGTGGTGGAGACTTGTACTTGTATACTGGTGGTGG